CAGTGTAAATCTGAAGGAGAAGACTAAACGTTTGACATTTATGAAATGTCACATGGGAAACGTACTGTCCAATGAAATATCAAATCTTCTTAGAAAGCACGGTGCTCAGGACAATTGGGAAGTTCTGGAAAGAGACTTAAATTGCCTTTTAAATGGGAATTTTAAAGCTGAGAATGTTAGTTTGAAGAAACAGGAGATAATCAGAGAACTAGAAGACGTCTGTCAAAGAGAAAAGGCATCAAAAATGGAACCCAAAGTGCCATCTACTGGTGTTGAAACATGTGAAACTAATGAAAATCAGGAGTTCTTGAATTTAATGAAACGACTTGGACTGGATAAGTACTACCCTAGGAAAATGGGGACAGCCACTTTCCATCTCATTACTGAGGAATCCTTGCAGGACAGCCAGCCCCGCACAGAGGATCAGCTGCCATTTTGTTTTTTGCAAAAGCTGTTAATGGTGGACTATCGGGTCCGGTACCTGGTTTGTAAGGATGACGGTCAATCCAAACCAGCTATAACAAGGGGGTTGAATGCCACAGACAAAGAGAGTGACTCAGAGACGTTTGATGACTTTTTTGATGATCTTAGTGAGGGAGCCCATGAATCTGCTACAAGCCAGGGACACGTGCACCCAATGGATCTCCAGATGGCAATTTTTCACTGTGCCGATGATTTCATGAGACAATATGTTGCAACGAAGCTCGCTTTCTGCCAGTTTGCACTCCCCTTGCTGGTGCCAAATCCTCACACCGCACAAATAGAATTCCCCCTGTGGGCCCTGAGCCAGGTTCAAAAGAGCTGGAAAAGTGCCAAAAAGTCAGGAGAGCAGACCAGCATTACAAATTATAACACACTGATTTACCAAGCAGAGACGCCCCTGGTGTCCTTCACCCAGATTGGCCAGTCGCCTCTTTCTTCTAAATCCCAGATCCTGAACGCCCTGCTGAGCAAGCACAAGCATGACGTGTTTTTCCACCGTCACTGCAGGGGCAGCAGCAGAGACTGCCTGCTGATGAAGGGGGTTGTGGAAATCGCCTGGTACTGCCCAGGGGGAAAGGACGATGACAGATTCGACAATTGTGTCGCATTCACCAACCTGCACGGGGACGCCAGAGAGCACGAGCCACAGGCCACATTCCTACAGGAGATCGCGTCGGTCAACGTGGTTCTCTTGTCAGATACGGATCAGAAGGACACAAGGAGCAAAGCAATTCTCCGTGATCTCTGGGAATCCTCAAAGCCTTTGATCTGCCTTGGCTGGCAAATCGAGCCAGAACATCAGAATAGGCATCAAGAACAGAAACGAGGCAGAATTAATAGATGAAATCACAGCAACAATCAGAGACTTACTGGCAAACTCCATCACCACTCGTAGTCTGGATGCTTGTGTGACTGCGGCTCGCCGGCAGGGCTTCCTCGTTGATGCAGACAAGGAAGAGTGCAAGGAAGCCAAGGCAAAGGCCCAGGAACTGCCAGAGAAAGCCTTGAAGGAGCAGTCAGAGAAAAATACACTGCTGTCATGGATCAACTCGAAAAGTTTTTCAGTGCAGACCCAGATGCTGAAATATTGATTCAGTGGAAAACAAACATGGAAATGAAACTGAAAGAGCTTAAATCGTCTCTTATTGATGAAATGATGAAGAAATCTGAGGAACTTATTAGGCTAAGGGAGAAGCAAAGCAAACTGGATGAGAGAAAGGCAGGGTATGAAAAGGAGCTTTTTGAAAAGAGCCAAGAGCTGGCTCTGTCGTTAAAAGGCAAACAACTGAGTGACGATCAACTGAGAGAGAACTTTAACCGCCTGTGGAACGAATGGGTCTGTGAAGTGGCCTTGGATGTCCCTTCTGCTGAGGAGCCCAACATCAAGATTGATATAGAAAACATCCTGCTCAAATGTTTTGAAACAAAATCTGTTATACTGGAAAAACTTAAGGCTTCATCCAGCGATTGGTTTTCCACTGATTTATCCAAGCATGTCACCATGAAGAGAACATTGCTTGTGTTCAAAAAGACTTTAGAGAAGTGCGATAGAGACTGCATAAAGGAGGTGACAGCCCGTATCATGCAGGGCGTCAGAGCTATCATCAGTATGAGAGAGACAGGCCAAATTTATGAAGCGCTGGATGCGATGGATACAAAGGACAAATGTTTTCTTAAACTACCTCAAATAGCAGCTGACCTGATGGTGTCGGGGTATCCCATTGAGCTGATGGACGGTGACGCTTCCTACGTGCCACTGAAATGGGTGGGAGCAGTTTTTGACTCATTAATTGAGAAGCTGGGAGACAGGAAGGTGTTTGTTCTTTCCGTGCTTGGCATCCAGAGCACTGGGAAATCTACCCTCCTGAACGCCATGTTTGGTCTCCAGTTCAGCGTCAGTGCATGCACAGGGCATTTAAAAAAGCACACGACCCGATCGTCTACCTGGAGAGCAAAAGGGAAGATTTCTTCAAGTGCTTCCAGATTTCCTGCCAAGGAGCAACCTCCATCGCAGCATTTGCTGAGTTCCTATGCAGCAAGCTCGCTGCAGCCCTCCGCCAGGCCGTCTATGACAGGACGGTCATTGACATCGCCAATGAGATGAAGTCTATACATCCAGCTTTCAATGGGAACAGATCCAACCTAGAAAACCATATTCTTGTGTATCTGGCCGAGAAGGAAAACTTTGCGGAGTACAGGCAATACATTCAATCCCCAAAACACTTTTTTGAGGATTTTATCAAGCAGAGTGTTGATGATTATTGCTTAGACAAGGACAATCCAAAACTGCAGCGTTTCCTAAACAATTCCCTGGATGATTTCCATACACGTGTCCTTTCAGCTATTCGTGACTCAACTAAAGTTACTAAAGACAAAAGTGGCAACGTTTCCTTCTGGCTGGATGAATTCTGCAGAGGGCTTCAAGAGTATTTAACTCTTCCCAGAAGTGAGCTAAAAAGCATTGAACATCAGGAGGTAACTGACATGGAGTTTCTTAAGGAAGCCCTGAGTAAGGCGTTGACTCCTGTGGTGGGAAATCTGCGAAAAGACTTTGCTGCCATTGATATGGAGCCATTTTCACGAAAGCCCCATGAGATCCTCGCTGAACAGCTCGGTGGGTGCTGGGAGCAGTGCCCTTTTTGCTCAGCTCTTTGCATAAACACCATGTCTGGTCATGATGGAGAGCACAGTGTGCCCTTCCATCGGCCTCAGGGTGTGAGTGGTGGGTTTTGGTATAAAACAGACCATCTAGTTACTGAGATTTGTTCCAGTCTTGTAGCAAGTGATTGTCTATACATACTTAATGACGATCAACACATTCCCTATAAGAGGTACTGGGAAGGAGGACCCCCTTACTCCGAGTGGAGCATCACACCAGACATGTCAGAGCAACCTTACTGGAAATGGTTTGTGTGTCATTTCAAACCTGAGATAGAAAAACTCTATGGTAGAACATTTGAAGGCAAAGGGAAAATCCCTTCTCAATGGAGAAACATCACAAAGGATGCTCTGCTCAGAGAGCTGAGCCGTGTGTAATCCTCAGCCAGTCAGAAGGAATAACTGTAAGTTGACATGGCAGAGCCCTTTCTAAACAATTGGGAAGATCTGTGTCGGGGGCAGGGGAGGATTAAAGCCCGGGGTATTGCTAGCACCCAATCTAATGTGTGTGATTCACTCGTCATGGAAAAGCATTTCCAGTAGAGCTCAATAGGGCTACATGATACTCATTGTCTACAAGTGTTTAGATTTTAGAGGGTGCGGGTGTGTCTGAATCAGGGCCATCTCCAGGGGGATGGGGCAACCTACCCCCCTTTCCCCACCCGGCCTAGTCTCTGTTCCACCCACTCCCCCAGTGAAGGCTGGGCGATGGCAGCAGGGTGGAGCAGGTTGCCAGGTTGACCGTGTAATGGACGGGAGAGCTCTGGTCTGAATAAAACCCAGCTTTGATCACTGCCGTGTGTGTTGTGTGGATCTCAGTTTGGGGAGAGTGCAGCTGGCAGACTGGCTGTGTACGACAATCATTGCTAGAGAATTTCTCAACTACGTGCTCACCTGAGTGACACAAAGCACAGAAAGTAAAATAACCCCCCCGTGCATAAATAGCAAAGCTATCGCTCTGAAGTGAGCCACGTGCCTGTCTTTCAGTCTCCATACTCATCATTCCTTTGAATTAAAATTAAAGTTGTACCCTTCTGTTAAATGAACCTTTCCCATATGCTAGTTCTCTGACTCAGCCATGTCTGCACTACCAGGTAATGCCAAGTTTATTAAAGTCAAAGGTCCATGTTCCTGCAGTGCACAAGAATTCAACACAGTTTAAAGTAACACGTCCTCAGCAAGGAGACTACCACCGACTCTTAGAGCAATGCATTATGGGTAGCTATCCCACAGTGCCTATCCCAGTCTGTATTCTGGGTTATGCCACTGGTGCACACTGGGACCAACAATGTGCAGCGGATGGTTCTGGGTTCATGTCGCCAGCATCCCATAATGCACCTGTCTACTCCCTCCCCCTTAGAATCATAGAATCATAGGACTGGAAGGGACCTCGAGAGGTCATCGAGTCCAGCCCCCCACCCTCAAGGCAGGACCAAGCTCCACCTACACCATCCCTGACAGATGTCTATCTAACCTGTTCTTAAATATCTCCAGAGAGGGAGATTCCACCACCTCCCTTGGCAATTTATTCCAATATTTGACCACCCTGACAGTTAGGAATTTTTTCCTAATGTCCAATCTAAACCTCCCCTGCTACAATTTAAGCCCATTACTCCTTGTCTTGTCCTCAGAAACCAAGAGGAACAAATTTTCTCCTTCCTCCTTGTGACACCCTTTTAGATATTTGAAAACCGCTATCATGTCCCCCCTTAATCTTCTTTTTTCCAAACTAAACAAGCCCAGTTCACGAAGCCTGGCTTCATAGGTCATGTTCTCTAGACCTTTAATCATTCTTGTCGCTCTTCTCTGTACCCTTTCCAATTTCTCCACATCTTTCTTGAAATGTGGCGCCCAGAACTGGACACAGTACTCCAGCTGAGGCCTAACTAGTGCAGAATAGAGCGGCAGAATGACTTCACGAGTTTTGCTTACAACACACCTGTTAATACAACCTAGAATCATATTTGCTTTTTTTGCAACAGCATCACACTGTTGACTCATATTCAACTTGTGGTCCACTATGACCCCTAGATCCCTTTCCGCCATGCTCCTTCCTAGACAGTCGCTTCCCATCTTGTATGTATGGAACTGATTGTTCCTTCCTAAGTGGAGCACTTTGCATTTCTCCTTATTAAACCTCATCCTGTTTACCTCTGACCATTTCTCTAACTTGCTAAGGTCATTTTGAATTATGTCCCTATCCTCCAAAGAAGTCGCAACCCCACCCAGTTTGGTATCATCTGCAAACTTAATAAGAGTACTCTCTATCCCAATATCTACATCATTGATGAAGATATTGAACAGTACGGGTCCCAAAACAGACCCTTGAGGAACTCCACTTGTTATCCCTTTCCAGCAGGATTTAGAACCGTTAACAACAACTCTCTGACTACGGTTATCCAGCCAATTATGCACCCACCTTATCGTGGCCCTATCTAAGTTATATTTGCCTAGTTTATCAATAAGAATATCATGCGAGACCGTATCAAATGCCTTACTAAAGTCTAGGTATATGACATCCACCGCTTCTCCCTTATCCACAAGGCTCGTTATCTTATCAAAGAAAGCTATCAGATTAGTTTGGCATGACTTGTTCTTCACAAACCCATGCTGGCTATTCCCTATCACTTTATTACCTTCCAAGTGTTTGCATATGATTTCCTTAATTACCTGCTCCATTATCTTCCCTGGGACAGACGTTAAACTGACCGGTCTATAATTTCCTGGGTTGTTCTTATTCCCCTTTTTATAGATGGGCACAATATTTGCCCTTTTCCAGTCTTCTGGAATCTCCCCTGTCTGCCATGATTTTTCAAAGATCATAGCTAGGAGTGTCCTGGTTTCCCTTGGATCTAAATATCAAACCACATGCCATGCCCTCAGACAAGCACAGTCTGGTGGGATCGCACTGCGATGCAGGTACAGGATGATCAGCAACGACTGCAAAACGTTTGCATGTTGAAGATCACTTCCATGGAACTCCGTGAATGGCTTTCTCCTGCCCTGATGCACAAGAATACCCGAAGGAGATGCACATGGCAAAGACAGCTGGGAATCTATTTGGAGCGGGGGATGCTGGGAGCCCAGGCGATCAGTACCCTTCTGCCATGGAGGGTACTGACTGGGAAATGTGGCTGCCACAGTGGATGCCTTTGCTGTGATGGGCTTCCCTAAGTGCAGTGGGGCAGTAGATGGAATGCACATCCCCCTCTGTGCACCAGACCACCTGGCCAAGGACACACACACTGCCCAAGGTACTCCTTCTCCACCTTCTGGGCCCTTCCTTATCCATCCTATGTCCCAATGGAGCCAACTCTGTCCCTTGGGAGCCTCGGTTGGCCCTCTGCTTATCCTTCCTTTGTCCTAGGGGTACTGGGGTGGGCTGGCCCTGGGG